ATCACCATCACCACCATCACCATCACCATCACCATCATCATCACCTTCATCATCACCATCACCATTAGCACCATCACCATCAGCACCATCATCACCATCACCACCATCACCATTACCACCATCACCATCACCATCACCATCATCACCATTACTATCACCACCATCACCATCACCATCACCAACACCATCACCTTCATCATCACCATCACCATTAGCACCATCACCATCAGCACCATCACCACCATCACCATTACCATTATCACCATCACCACCATCACCATCACCATCATCACCATTACTATCACCACCATCACCATCACCATCACCAACACCATCACCTTCATCATCACCATCACCATCAGCACCATCATCACCATCACCACCATCACCATTACCATTATCACCATCACCACCATCACCATCATCGTCGCCGCTGCCACCACACTGTCACCACCGCCCTCACCTCCACCTCCATGCCACCATCCACATCACACCACCAATGCCATGGCCACTGCCATGGCTGCCGCTTTGAGTCTGCTTCCCAAGCTGTCCACTTACAAATGGCTAAAGGTCCAGTGTCTTTGGCTCCCATGGAGGAAGCATTCTCACTACCACTGTCCCACTTACCCCCTTTAACCTCCTAAGGATGGCCACATGCCCGGGCCTAGGCCCAGGCCAGCAGGCATTGCAGCTGGACTGTGGGCTGTGATGGGAAGGAAGGGCCATGACCATGCATCCACAGTTGAACCCTCACTCCTGGGACCCTGTCACTGCTGGGATAGGCCCGAGGACACTGACTGCAGGTGCAGGACCCCATAGCCATGGCCGGGCTCCCCTCTCAGTGTGCAAGGTGGGGCCTCTGCTGTCTGGCCCCAGAGTATCCGTGTGCCCAGGGGGCCTGGACATCCGTCAGGGCAGGGGCTTGGTGGGCACCTGGGAGCTGCCAGGAGATAGGGGAGCTCTCCTTGCCCAGCTGATGCTGGTCTGGAGGGACCCGAGTTGGGAGAAGGAGCTCCATGCAACCGGCTCTCCCCACCTTGCCTCTTCAGACTACCTCAGATCCACTCTGGGGTGCATGGAGCCAGAAGCCCAGGTGGGTAGTGACTGCCCGGGCCAGGGCGTCTGCCTCAGAGCTCAGCTAGTGGGGAAGGAGGAACTGCTGGGGTTCACCCCACAGGTGGTGGAGGGAGTCACGCAGGGAGGCAACTGGTGACCCAGGAACTGGGGAGAGCCAGGCCATGCCCCACTGGGGGAGGGAGGTGCCTCCCCACCAGGAGCCCAGGCCCCGGGTGAGGCTGCCTGCCCACTGTGTCCTCCAGCACTGGAGCTGACCTTAAGCCCCCCAACTCCTGAGGACATGAGGCTCCACTGGTCAGGCACATGGTGTTGCCATCCCCGCCCTACCCTGGGCTCCCTGCCCTGCCCTGGGCCCCTCCCCAACTTCCTTTAAAGTCCAGAAAATGCAGCCGAGTGCAGTGGCTCACGCCTATAATCCCAGCACTTTGGGAGGCCAAGGAGGACAGATCACGAGGTCAGGAGATCGGGATCATCCTAGCTAACATAGTGAAACCCTGTCTCTACTAAAAAATACAAAAAAATTAGCTGGGCGTTGTGCCGGGCGCTTGTAGTCCCAGCTCCTCGGGAGACTGAGACAGGAGAATGGCATGAACCCGGGAGGCGAAGTTTGCAGTGAGCCAAGATCACGCCACTGTGCTCCAGCCTGGGCGACAGAGCAAGACTCCCTCTCAAAAAATAAATAAAGTCCGGAAAATGGGGTGGAGGAAGAGAAGGGGAAATATGGGCCCCCCACAGCCTCCTGCCCACATGCCCCTCATGGCACCAGGTCAGGCCTCCTGCCCCTGCTGGGCACTGCCCATCGCCTGGCCCACACCTCTCCAGTCTCAGACTCTGCAGCTGCCCAGGGCTTGGCTGAGACATTCTCCAGCTATGCTGAGAAAGGTCGGGAACCCTTGCCTCTGACCCTGAAGCCACCACCCCTCAGTGGGGGTCCCCTGGACATGGCCGGAGGCCCACCCACCCGACCCTGAGTGGCCACAC